CTCCCCTCCCCTTCCTCTTCGGGCTCAACCCGCCACTCACCAGTGCCAGCGGGGGAGCTTCCCTGCGCCTCCTCAACTGATCTTCCAGTTCCAGCAGCAGCTCAGGATTCTCTGGCCCCGCCCCAAGGCTGATCTGCCACTCAGGCAAAAGGGCGGGGCAGAAAAGGCTGTGCTCTTGCTCCTGACTGGGAGATCAGCCGAGGAGGTGGGAAAAGCAAGCCGGCTGGGCCTGGTGAGGGGCTAATCAGTGGAGAATGAGAGAGAATGACGAACTAGCACAAACTGGGATTAACTGGTTTGTGCCCATCTCTAAACATAAATACGAATCTTGTTTTTCTTTGTAACCCTTTTTTTTAATTTCTGTTTTTTCTTCTTCTTCCTCAAGCTGGATATCTTGGAATATATACATGAAAACGAGTATGTTCATGGAGACATTAAGGCGGCAAATTTACTTTTTGGCTACAAAAATCCACACGAGGTAAATAAATGCCAGTCCCACTTCCTCATACATTTGCAAATGCATCATTGTTTCCTTTGTACTGTTGTTTATGTCCTTTTCTGCCACTCCTTGGCTTTGTTGGAAAAAAAGATTTCAAAAGTTCTTTGCAAACTGTTCCCTGCCTTCCCCCTCCTTTGCTGAACCTAAGGGGAAAAAAAAGAAACAAAATATCTCCCTCTAGTGGTCAAAGGCAGAATAGCAGCTTCCCATTAGTTTCTATGGATGGAAAAGAGCAGATACGGATTAAATGGTTTTCAATTCATTCCTATGGGAAATGCAGATTCAACCTACGAACCACTTTCCAATACGGATTAAGTTAGTAAATCGAGACCCCACTGTACTGTTGTTTATGTCCTTTTCCCATCTGCCACTCCTCAGATCTGTTTGGACAATGACTTCTGACATGGCTATAACCGGTGCTGGCTGAGGATGATGGGATTTATGGTTTGTACAGCCTGGGAGGCTACCAGGTTGAGGATGACTGCTGTGATTTTCTGTTGTTTTGGAAGATACTGCCGCTGTGGCTTAGATCTCCCCTTATTTCTAGAAAACTTGTGCAACCTTATCTGCATAGGGTGCCATTCTTGCTTTGATGGAGTGATTTAGTGGGAAACTTGGGGACTGCATTTAAAAGATCTGCTTTTTTTTAAGGGGTTTGTTGTCCTGGTTATATCTGTGGATGAAGCAGTTCTGCGTAGTCATAACTTGTGTGCATGTAGTTTTAGCTCTGAAGGAAAGGTGCACATGTTGTAGGACTTTGTGTTGGTGTGTATGCCTCTTCAAAGGGTCGCACAGTTGGCTGCAGAGAAACAAGTCAAACAAGCCCAGTTCAAATGCCTCAGTAGCTACCAGCATGGAGATTATTTCAGGGGTAAGTCTGTTATCAGAATTGGTTCTTCTCTGCGCCAGCAAACCAAGCATGGAGATTATTTCAGGGGTAAGTCTGATATCAGAATTGGTTCTTCTCTGCTTGCTACCATTGCTGTTTCAATGGCCAGAGTTTTTAGTGGCTGCAGACTTTGGGAGTTTGATTCCTCCCTATGCTTCCTGGGAGGAAAAGCTAGCCTGTGTAGCCTTGAGCAAGCAGCAGAATCCCAAGGTTCTTCAGGAGAACATCAGTTCATGATGGCTTGTGGTTACCCACAAACCACCATTTTTCACGTGCGGGCCCAACTGTGCTCCTGATTGTTCTGCTCTGGCAACTGTTTTCAAAGCCTTCTTCAAATTTTGTTCTATTTATATTACCGGTACTGTGTAGCCGCTAGGGCAGGGTGGATAAAACTCATTTAAAAAAATATTTAAATCATGTATTAAATTTTTTAAAAATGATTTTTTTCCCTAAAATTCAAATTGTTATAGAAATCAATTTGATTGAAATCAAATCCGTGCTGCACTAAGGAAAGCAATTTGTTTATGTCTAAATCACAATACATGCTTTACTTCAAGGTATCCCATCGAGTCAACGGAGAAGAGTTTCTTTTTTCTATTATAGCACAGATTTTCTTGGACTCTGTTCCATGGGAGAAGGGCTGAGCAGCTGATCTTTCCCTTTCTCTCAGTGGGAGATCTTTTAACATGTCAACAGGATATTTATATCAAATGGGGACTTAGGGGGTAACATTTGCAGTAACATTTCCATGCTCCGCTATCATTCCAGAAAGTTGGGGAATAGCTTAGTGGTGTCTTGGCTCAGTTGAAAACCTTGATCATCGTCATGCGTCGCTTGTCGTTGTCTTCACTGAGTGTAGTGGGATTTTGGTTCACCTCCCGTTTGGTCCATCCAAACTCTCCTTACTCAGTTTGGGAACCAGAATGTTGCCCCTCCATCCTGGGGAGGCAGATGGCTCCTGTGGCAGCAACTTGATTCCTACACTGTCTGTGGACCATCGCGAACATGTCACTGTTATGATAGCAACTCACACCCTTACCTGAGGGATGATATGCCTGGGGTCTCCTGGATCCTGGTCAGGTGGGGACAATGAAGGGAGGAAGGTATTTGCTTGGACTGGAAAGGCCAGCCTTGTAAATTGCTGAGGACTGTGTATCTGCAGCAAGGACTTGCTTCTGTTGATGTTACCACCAAACCAAGTTAATTGGTTGCCGATTAGAAAAAAAAAAAACCACCGGAGAAAAGCTCTGTGGTGTAGTTGATAGAATGTTGAACTAGGACTTAGACGTTCTCGGTTCAAATGCTTAGCTTGGGAAGTGGCAATGGTAACCTCAAAAAACCTGTTCTTGCTGTGTGCTTCAGCACTAATGGGGTGGTGTATAAATCAAAGAAGTCTGACTGCAGAACAATGGATGCTTTTGAATTGTGGTGCTGGAGGAGACTCTTGAGAGTCCCCTGGACTGCAAGGAGATCCAACCTATCCATTTCGAAGGAAATCAACCCTGAGAGCTCACTGGAAGGACAGATCCTGAAGCTGAGGCTCTAATACTTTGGCCATCTCATGAAAAGAGAAGACTCCCTGGAAAAGACCCTGATGTTGGGAAAGTGTGAAGGCAAGAGGAGAAGGGGACGACAGAGGATGAGGTGGTTGGACAGGGTCATCGAAGCGACCAACGTGAATTTGACCAAACTCCGGGAGGCAGTGGAAGCCAGGAGGGCCTGGCATGCTCTGGTCCATGGGGTCACGAAGAGTCGGACAGAACTAAACAACATAAATCAATGTGACACAACCTTACACTAGATGATCTTTTCGAATTCCTTCATTGCTTCCCTTCCGAGTCTCAGTTTTCTTGTGATATCTTGGCTGCCGTCTCCACTTGGATTGATGAGTTAACTGAGGAACAGAAAGCCCTATTAGAATCACCATAAGGCAGAAGCAACTTGATGACACAGGAGAACCAGAAATAATCCACAGCGTGTCTGTTTGTTCTGGTGTTGTCTAAAAATGTGAGATAAAACCTCAGCAGCCATATGCTTCTACAGAGTTTCAATCTGGCTAGGTCATTCAGTGCAAAACTAAAGATTTCATTTTGGTGTGCTCAGTACACATGCAATTGCAATAACGCAAATTTACAGTAAGGGATGACACTTAATTGAAGGCTGAGGCCAGGATTAAAAGAGCTGTTTGTAAATGTCGATGTGTGTTGTGGGCTTTGTATTCACCTTCACATCCCCTTTGTTTCTATTGTTGAAGAACCCTTGGATTGAAGATTCTATTATGTATTGATTTCTCAGGGTAAAAACTAACAAATTCTATTCTGGTTGACATCATTTCTTAAAATCTTCTAATCACAAGCCAACTTCTTTGGGCTTGAATTACTAGCCTGTCTGTAACTATGGTTCCTACTGGTTTATTATTGTCATGTTAACTACCAGAAAGCTCAGTGGTTTAAATCTCTGGCTGTGGAGCCAAAGATTGGGAGTTCAATTCCCCGCTGTGCCTCCTTAGCAGGGGCTGGACTTGATGAGTTCTCAGATTCTAAGATTTCTTCTGGACATGGTGGGAGTTCAATTCCCCGCTGTACCTCCTTAGCAGGGGCTGGACTTGACGAGTTCTCAGATTCTCAGATTTCTTCTGGAAATGCCAGGGAACTTAAGGCAGGGAAGGAGGCACCCCCTCAGCCTTGCTTCAGGAGAATGCATTGTTTGCAGTTCAGCATATTAGAGCATATTTAGAAAGTTTGAGGGCAAGAAGAGAAGGGGAGGACAGAAGATGAGATGGTTGGACAGTGTCATCGAAGCGACCAACATGAATTTGACCAAACTCCAGGAGGCAGTGGAAGTCAGGAGGACCTAAAGTGATCTTTGACTAGGATCTGTGCATTGTTCTGCTGATGAATTAGGTGTTGTCAGCAAAACAGGGAGGGGGGCAGCTCCCTCTTTTCCTGGAGCCCCGTGGGACTCCTCAAAGCCGGCTTTGGAGGGACGTTTTTCCAAAGCAGATTTTTGGGTGTTGTGCAGGACAGTGGGAGCCTTGTTGTTCTACGGTGTGTCTACCTAGCATGATGCTGGATTTAGGCTTTTGTGTTTCTGAAGCCCCAGGGTCAATCTTTTGCATCTTCAGGTAGAACTAGGAAACATCCACGTCCAAGAACTTCAGAGTCCTCCTGCCATCCGCTGTCAACAGTGCTGCCAATGATCTGAAGCAACAGTTACCCCTGTAACCTTGTCATGAAACTCTTAAAGAGATGTTATTTTCCGACCAGCTAGGCTTCAGGTCTCCTTGACTACAATATTCTTTCAGTGACAAAGAACTTTTTGGCTCTTACATAAATCAATCTCTCTTAGGGTGCAACAACACTGGAGTGATTTGGTTATGCATTAGCTTGACCCACTGTCTCTTTTGTCTCTCTTGTGTCTGCATTCAATGTAGAGGACCCCATGAAGACCCCAGGTGCACACTGGCTCCTCAGTCTGATGCAGTTTGATCTTCAGCACAGCCCCTTTCCTTTGATACTGCCCTACTCCTGAGTCGGGCTCTCCTTTTGTAGTCTGTTATCAAGCCACTGGGACTGTTTAAAGGGTTGCACGGTGGTAGGGGAAAATGCACAGTTTTCCAAAATTCTCCGTACATGCAGAAATATGCATACATGCCATGGAAACATTGCACTCAAATGCATCAGTAAAAGTGGTTTCGATTTTCTAGCAGTGTGTATCTTCATCTTTATCATCTTCTCTCTCTTTTGGTCTGCGTGAAGGTGGTCTAGCATTAAACTAATATAGCAATGCTGTGATAAGGTGATCTGGTGCTGTACTCAATTGTTCGTTTTTATAAAAGAGGTAAGTACCTTGGGGCAGTTCGGGGAGGAAAATTGCCGGTGTAGTTTCTGCTGTTCCACAACATCGTGCCTCAACTTATGATGTCAGCAGAAAACCACCCAAAGTCATGACCTCCACTCCTTTTGTAGAATAAAACAAATGATTGCACAGGCAAAACACATTTGAATTTTTATGATTAGGAAAAAAACAAAACAGAAGCCCTCAGCAGCTGGGGGGAGGAGTCCGGATTGGGAGGAAAAAAGGACCAGCT